TGCCATCGATCTCGATCTGGTGGTTCTCAAAGACAACTGCAGACCAACCCTTGCCACCATTGATGGCAAAGCCGCCGTCCTCCGCATAGCCATTCGCAACATTTGCATTCCCCACAAAGTACGACAAGGCACCGTTCGCAGTTGGTCGGAACTGGTTCACAGATGCCAACGTTGGCTTGAAGAGCACGTCGGAGTGGCCATAGCCGTAGAGCTCGGCTGCTGCTGCGCCTGCTACTGCGACAAAGGCACCGCCAGCAAGGTAAGTGTTTGAGATGCTCAGGACAGCATCGGCCCAGGCATCCTGCACCAACAACACATCGTTTGCTGAGATGGCCATGTTGGCACTCGTTTCCTGAGAGTCCGTGCAGTCCTGCACCAGCACTGCCACAGCAATTGACACACCACATGTCACCAAGGCCAATAGCCCCATGCACATCATGCCACCCATCAGCCTCTGGTTGGTCTTCTGCAGGGCAAGAAGATCTTTGGAGATGTCCTTCGATGCCTTGTCCATTGCAGTGTTGGAGACGTCATTGGCCGTGTCCATTGTGGCTCTACTCTACACTCTACAGAAGAACGTCTGTGTGTAAAGGTCCAAGGAGAGACAGCTTTAAGCCCAAATGGCTGTAGCCATTCGAGCACAATCGTAGATAACATACAGCTAAGAGCCCGCATCCAAGACTGGGTCCTTCAGGCACGTAATTTAAGTTACCTGCAGCAAGCTTTTTTCCGACGATAGGCTCAGGCCTGAATTGTCAACTTTAATCAAACCCCCTCGTGGCCAAGCGGCGAATACACTGAACGCCGAGGCAATGCTGGCAAACATGTGTTCCATGTGTTCTAAAACGCCTACATGCTAAAAGTTTAAAAGCGTACTACGGTCTGTACGGTCACCGCTCTGTTTGACAGGCGGCATGCAAAATTGCAATGCTGGATCCGTTGCGTCGGGCACTCCGAACACAATCTTGACGTGCGTGTTCGCCAGAACTCACAACGACAACAGTTTCACCTCAATGCAGACTCGTGCGGTGAGATGAGATGACTGAGAGGGGTGCCCGAAACAATGACTGCTAGCTACTCACAGCACTGAAAAAAACTGCCTACGGCCTACATACGAAGATCACGCGTAAGATCAAGGACTGTAGGGCTTGGAAGAATGGTGGAGGAAAATCCGAAGCTTCCCATCTTCGGTCCTCTTGTAATTGAAGCTGTACTCAACCTTGGACACATTGCCATCGTCGGCACTCGTGAAGTAGTAGTTGCCCATGGCAGCTGCAACGTTGCCATTGATCTCGATCTGGTGGTTCTCAAAGACAGCAGCAGACCAACCCTTGCCACCATTGATGGCAAAGCCGCCGTCCTCCGCATAGCCATTCGCAACGTTTGCATTCCCCACAAAGTACGACAAGGCACCGTTTGCAGTTGGTCGGAACTGGTTCACGGATGCCAACGTCGGTTTGAAGAGCACGTTGGAGTAGCCATAACCGTAAAGCTCGGCGGCTGCTGCTCCAGCCACTGCCACGAAGTCACCACCAGCAAGGTAAGTGTTTGAGATGTTCACGACAGCATTGGCCCAGGCATCTTGCACGGCAAGCACCTCTGCCCGAGAGATTGGCATCTCGTACGGCTTGGAAGAATGGTGGAGGAAGATCCGCAGCTTACCATCCTCGCTCCTCTTGTAGCCGAAGCTGTACTCAACCTTGGACACTTTGCCATCGTCGGCACTCGTAAAGTAGTAGTTGCCCATGGCAGCTGCAACATTGCCATTGATCTCGATCTGGTGGTTCTCAAAGACAACTGCAGACCAACCCTTGCCACCATTGATGGCAAAGCCGCCATCCTCCGCATAGCCATTCGCAACGTTTGCATTCCCCACAAAGTACGACAAGGCACCGTTTGCAGTTGGTCGGAACTGGTTCACGGATGCCAACGTTGGCTTGAAGAGCACGTCGGAGTGGCCATAGCCGTAAAGCTCGGCTGCTGCTGCGCCTGCTACAGCGACAAAGTCACCGCCGGCAAGGTAAGTGTTTGAGATGCTCAG